GTTTTTCTGCTCCACGTCTCTGAGCCATCGGAGCTCTTTGATGACACGCTAAACGATTTTTATGTTCTGGTGGAAAAAGATGGTCTGCAGCCAATTTTTCATTGGTATAAAGGAGGGCAAAGGCAGGTTTTGGTGTGGCAGTTGATGAATGGTTGGTGGGAGGGAATCCATCTGCTGCATCAACAAACGGAAATGGATTGCCCACTGGTAAAAAAATAAAATAAAATAAAAAAAGAATAAAGAAATCGTGTGATTCCTACAAGGTTCAAACACATTAAGTAATATGTGAATGCTTCTGTGTTTGAGAGACCAAAGGATAGGGATTGTCTTTCACTCTGTTTCTCAATTTTTGCGTGTTTCTTTTTCTACTCTCTCTCTCTCTCTCTCTCTCTCACATGCACGCACGCACGCACGCACGCACGCACACACACACACATTCACCACCAACCACACACACACACACAGACACACAAGAGAATTCACTCGTGGCTCTGTGCCATCTTGCCTAAATACTAACTATCTATCATCCTAGATATTTCATACTTTTTCAATTCAATAAGCCAATATGATTTATGTAGTGGCTCGGGTGGCTTTGGTATGGTTGAGATTTAGGACTGCAGACGGTATCATACATTCAGTTTTCTGTTCCATATTTTGGTGACCACAAAGAAAATAATAATTRAAAAAATCTCTGAAAAGCATAATTTTTCTTTTGCTTAATCTTCTCTTCAATAAAGTGCAGTAAATATTGCAAGCACTCATTTTTGAATACTTCAGCAGACATGTTTCTGTAATACCTGGGAATTGGCGAGCTTACTGCCTCCACTCAAATATTTGCTCTCAAACTTTTTAAATTAATTTGCTAATTCAAATAAATTATGTGTGCATGGCCTGTGCATATTTGTCTCACCTTGGTTTCACAAAAAAACAAACAAACAAACAAAAAACAGTTAAATTTTTAATAACCTGCATTAGAGTGTACAAATATTCAACCAAGCTCCAAACTATTTTGGAATATTACTCTATTATTGCACATTGGTGGTAAAAGGGTTAAATTTTTACTTTTTTAAATAACAAGATAAAAACATAATGTATTCAATAAAATGTATCTATGAATTTGTTTACCTATGTGAACGTTTTACAGAACATATAAGTAGCTTACATTTTCCTTGAGTCTTTAGATGTTTAAAGAAATGCCAAATAGTATATGCAGCTGCTGATTTGAAAAAAGGCTGCTGCCATTTATCTTTACATAGTCAGATGAAAGAATGCTGCAAGAAGGCTCCTTGAATCAAAATATGATCTCATTCAGTAGATGTGGAAATTCACTAAGTGCAGAAATTTTGCCAGGTGCCACTAGAAAATGCATTTATTATCAACTCTTCTTTACTTTCTTTAGACCCACAGCTTTCAAGAATGTATACAAAAAGAAGAACATAGGCAAGATTAAAATTACTTGGCAAACGCCAACAAATTGGATTTTATCTACGCTTCTGCAGATGTTTTATGATGTGATGTTAGTTTCTGCTCATATATATATATATATTACATCGTAGCGTCTGTGTAACGCTGCGTTCTTCTCAACTTCCTGTTTTCAACTTGTTTGCTTGGACTCAAGTCACAGGAATGAATTTATTTCTGTGCATTCATTTCCGTCGTGTTTTTATTTATGCACATTTTTTCCTTCTTTTTAYGATAACAGCATTTTTTTTTCAGTGGCTGCTGGCCCAGCAAGTAAACAGCGGGAGCATGATAAGATTTACATTCAAAAGCAYCCCTCAGTGCTCCTCTCACACCTACAAAGGAGTCAGAAGAACTGTATCATCTGTAACGTTGTACTCTCTCAGTAGGACAGCAAACAGCTTGAAAGTCTCCATGAATGTGTAATGCATCTTTTAAATGGTTTGTTTTAATATTATTGAGTAGAATGTGGTTTTGGTAAAACCTGCCCATTTACATTTGTAAATATATATGTTTAATGAGATACTTTTCATAATATTTAAAGGACATTTTCAAGTCAAGGACAATAAGCCTGTTGAGTACAAGTTTGAATATTTATTTCTGGTTGTTTTTATAGAGACCACAAATAACAAAAGCTGTCCCAGGCCACTGGATATAAAATAGGAAAACAGGTCTAATTCCATACAGTTCAATTCAAACCAATTCTTTTCATATTTCTAAAATAGAAATTCAGATTCATGTACTAAATTGCCAAATTCTATTCAAAATTACAGTGTTCTGGGTGTAATCGGTTCTTACCAKTCCATGTTCCCAACTCTCTCATTGGGCTGGTTGTCTTTTGGCCATGACGGTCCCCRTTGTCAGAAGCAGAATCTGCAAACTTTTCATCTGATTCCTGAGATCCAGCTGTCAGTTCAGGTTTATACTGGTATGGTTGTAAATCCATTACACCCACAAAGTGTTCTGGCATTTCTTCAAACTTCAAAAAGTCTTTGGCTTCAATTTTAAATGATAAATAATTGAACAATAACTGAGTTCCAGGTTCTTCAGTGTTGTTTTGGAGGTGGCCAAGGCACCATTGTTATGTATCCAGGACAGTAACTCCGTCCTGAAAATCATCACAATTTGATGTTTAGAGATAAAAACGTGAAAAAAAAACAAACAAACAAACAAAAAAACAAGTTATTCAGGTTATATGTTTGAGAAATGGATACCTGGGATGTTTTGTGTAAGTATTTCACTAAATGATATTCATGCAATATTTTTTTAGATTTGATTTGATTTAATTTCCCCTTTAATACAATGAGATACAATTGATGATGGAATTTCAATTTAATCAGCAGATAGTGTTGAATCTTTACTTCAACAAAGCCCCCCATCCTGAGCAAACACAGGTCGGTGGGCGACARTGCAGAGAAATTACACTTTTAACAGAAAGCAGAACTGGGATGAGTGGTCATCTKTCTCAGCTGGGAGGAGGTTGAGAAGATCCAGACAAACACAAAAGTACAGAGACACAAACAGTTTATGTGGAAATAAAAAAAAAAGAAACAACACAGTCTCAATGGCAGCAATATTTGCAATTACAGAAATAGGAAGTAGAACAAAGAAAGACTTCAGAGTGACAAAAAGGTGGTGAAGATGTTTGTTCTTGTGCAGACTAAGAGCAGCATAACTAAAGGATGACTCTCTTGAGCCAACTCCAATAATTACCTTTATCAGAAAGGAAGACTTTAAAACTTATAAAAAATAAAGTGGACAGGTTGTTTTTGTCCCAAACAAGAGAAGTTCCATTATTTAATCTGTTAGCACTCTGAGTCTGTCAGGGATGACTCGTAACTACAACCACACCAAATTTTAGCTCAACATCTGTAAAAAGTACTGTGTCATAGTCATTGAGTGAACTTGAGTCAGACAATATTTGTCACCATGAAATGCATRAAACAGTTAGCATCTTCATGTTTGACTCATTTTAAAAACTTTGTAAATTGTCTCCACTTAAGACAGTTTTTCTTTGTCCTAACTTTGTCACTTAAAATGCAGTCTTGAGACTTTTGYCCTGTAATTTAAGATATATTATCTGCAACTGGAGCTTTTATGCCCTTATCTGTGACACCAGCCTGCTCTCAGCAGATAATGACACATTCTTCCAACTTGTTTAGACACTTATGTTTCTTTATGTTTACCACCTTCAGAGGTAATTTGTTTTTCTAGTGACCTTAGACTCTGTAAGTAGGAAGATTTCTATCAACATTGTAATTTGCATTTTACAATATGATCACAACATTTTTCTGTGTGTTGTATTTTTTTTCCACATTCATGTATTTGAACAACTATTTTTTTTCTTTTTTGAAATGTGTCCAGCAGCAGCAGATTATTTATATTTCTTATTTCTTTACTGCCGTTCACTGAATTAAATACAACAATTTAAGGCAGGGTAAAAATGTTACCAAGAACAAAAAAAAGATGTTTAAAAGATTATTAAACTCTTGTTTATTAGTTCCCAAAATAAATGTCATGATTTTTATTTTCTGTTGCTCACACCTTGTTTGCTACAGTTTGTGTGCAGAGACAGTTTAAAGTTGTCTGATGAGTTTGAATGAGCGTGCAGATAACCATAGATAAAATCAAATTTAAAATATAAAAGCAGATTTTTATGCTGTGAATAAAGTAGCAATTGTGTGAAAAATACACTACTATAAACAACAATGTAGTCRTGTTGAATTTGCATGATGATTTTGAATCCTTCACTTTTTTGAAATTTGAAAAGCCAAACACGGAGCTGACATTTTGCTGTTGTTGTTGATTTAATTTATTGTCTTTGTAAGGCAAGTAAAAATGACACAGTCTTTACAAAATTAACAATTCCTTTGAGCTGAAGTCAGTCCGGCCAACAAAGCATGTCATCATTTCTTACGAGAGGKTGTCTGAGTGAGACTCTGGTAAAAAGCAGACGGGCTTGGTTTTGTGTTTGCGTGGKTGCGGGTTTGTGTATTTGAGTGTGTGCGCCTCGGGAGGTGTGTTACGACAAAAATCCCCAGCAGCACACCAGATGAAGAAAACAAATGAGCACTTTTCCTATTTTCTTTGTTGAAAGACAAACCTCCATGTGCTCTTTTTCTACCGCAGCAGGGGAATGTTTACATGCATACACTTCTGTCAACTCTTGCTATGTGTGAGGGTTTTTCTCCCCTTTTTATGCACACATACCTGTGTATGTTTGTCATTTTAAGATTGTGTAGAGTGGAGGTAAAGCTTGTTCGTGCTGTGAATACATTTGCTGATTTATGCAGCTAATTTACCATTTAAGCCCTGCCAATCTTGAAGAAACAGAAAAGGCTMAGAGTAAGAATTTACCTGTGTTTTGTGCATTTGGTTAGTACTATTCTGTGTGGGAGGTGCTAGAGGCTTTATGACTTTACCTCCCAGCAATTTGCATTTCAAATTATTTCTAGAGTGCTCTACTTTTAAGTCTGGCAGAAAGCATTTCACATATAATTACTGTAATGCTGATTTCAAATGTCCTGTCTTCTGGGCAGGTGCAGAGTCACCTGGGCACAAGAACAAAGTCCTCACAGAAAAGGTACAGTGCACACACACACACACACACACACACACACACACACACACACAC